TACCTATCTATCACGCCATTTCCCCTTGATGAAAGCAGTGCTATGTAGAGTTCAGAACAAGAATAAGAAATTGAAAGCAAAAAAAGAAAAAAGTATATGTACAATTAAAATTAAAACTATTTTGTCCTAATATCAATCATCATACTTTTGGGTATCTTACTCCCCCCCCCCCTTTTTGTTTTCTTCTTCTAACATATCCATTCACTGATTCATATATTGCCTTTATTTCTTCCAAGGTCTTCTTCAAAGATTCCCACAATTCTAACCAACCATGACTTTCGTTTTTTGATTTTCCTATTCTTGATCCATTCAGTCTTCCTTCATATATTTATTTTGTGCTTCAAATCTCATTCACTGTGACCAAAGCACCTCAATCACATTTGTTCAGTAGTCATTCATTCTGGATCTAACTCTTCCCTATTCATGTAATTTTTGCCTTTTTTCTTTTTATAGGGAAACTTACTTTCAATTCCCTGGATAGATGCAGTTTATACAAACATATCAAACAAGTCCTGAAGCCATTCCAGAAGCAAATTACACCTACATTTTAGCATTTCTCCAACTAAAACCCAATAAAATTGATGATCATTAGCACCTGCTTGGTATAATTGGTTAATCACACACCTGACTCTAATCCTATAAAACCCCTGCGTGCAAGTGTGTAAGTTTAAGAATTGATATTGTTTAAAGACAAAGAGTGATCACACCAAATATTAATTTGATTTGGATTTTTCTTCTGTTCATTAACTTTCCCTTAGGTTAATTGATAAAAATAAATTATCAACACTTCTATTTCTGAAAGCATCCTTAATTTACAGCATTTTTGTACAACTGCCTAATGCTTTTGCAGAATACTGTATTTCACTGTCCCTGAGGAGTAGTAACATCAAAATGTATTAGGCATATTTAATTTTCTCAAGGTTTTTAAAAGGCTAGCAAATTTATCTTTATCAGAATTACTCAAGGGTACTCATGTACTTTTCCTAGAGAGAAACTTATGAAAAGACAATTGAAGGAACCCTGAAAATAACTAAGAATCCAGAAATATAAGAAATAATAAAACTTTTAAAGGGAAGACAAAGCAGTACACAATAAATAACTGATAAGTTATAAGTACTTTATAAGCAGGGAAATATTATAAATAACAAAGAAGCATACTGGATAGTGAAATCCTACATTTGTTTATAAAATAATAATAGGTTATAATTTTAAATTTATCTATCTATCTATCTATCTATCTATCTATCTATCTATCTATCTATCTATCTATCT